GTTAGAATCTATCTACCTTGTAGTTGTTGGGCCTTTAATCTGATTCTAGCAATAGGGAAGCTGCCAATTCCTTGTGTTTGACATTAGGTAAAGTTTTGGCTTTCTCTGAATCCCATTATTTCAATAATTGGCATAAATAAGCTGTGGTATAGTTTTTAAGTATAGATATCATTTTTAATGAAATAGCCCAAGAAAGACTCAGATCGCTAGCATGATCTTGGTCATTGTATTTCCCGCAGACTAGTAGTTTTACTCCTAACGATGATGTTTCCAAGGCACCTGGCGGCATAATGGGATACAAGGTGGGCTCTTAACCACAAAATCAACAGTTCAACTCCACCATGCTTCCGCAAGGGAGAAAGATGAGGTTTTCTGATCCCATAAAGCTTTACAGCCTCAGAAACACACAGGGGGCAGTTCTACCCCGTCCGCAGGACTTCTTGGAGCCAGAATGAACTTGCTGGCAGTGAACTCAGGATGTTTCCAGAGATGCATACTCTAGTAGGGAAGGGAAGACTGACCCGTGATTCCAGCTGCGATGGGAATCGGTGTCAAATTCTCAGACAATCTTGTCATTGGTCTCAAGAAAAAATAGTGCTGGTGAGTGCAGAAGTGAAAAAAAAGACCCCAAAACTTTGTGTGTCCCTGGAAGGAGCATAATGTTGCACAATTCACTCAATAAAATGTAAAATAAATGTGAGAACTCTTCAATGGTCTTGATACCATAAAATTTTCTGTGGATCCCAAGTGATTTATAGTTTTGTAGAAAACTTTCAGAGTTAGGCTGAAAGTTCTTTTTGTAAATCCACTTATTCATAATATTGTTAAGAGAATTTACACTCAAATTAACTTTATTTTTGTAAATCAAACGGAGAACCAGCATTTCTTTTTCTATTAAACATTAATTCCACTAGGTGGAGGCATATGCTCACTTTTGTGGCTCCTCCTACAGCGTAAAGTGTAGAGAAGTCAATCAAGCCCAAACATTTCAGAAACAAGGGGAACAGACAGGACTTGCTAAGGCTTGGTGGTGCGTTCCTTTTTAACAACTTGGCAAATGTGTTTATTTGCATTGCTATTGAGTTTTTGGTGTTAAGCAAGGAAAGTCCCAAGCTTTTGTGGTTTGTTTTGTGTTTGAATAGTTTGAAATGAGAAGCAGCCACTGCATATTGAAATGGATTTATTAACCTTGCATCTTGTATTTTCTTATTTAATTATTTCAGGCAACTCTTACATTTAACAGTGGCATGCTAACAAAGAATCTTGAATAACAAAATTGATGCTGTGTGTACCGTACTCCATTTATGTAATTCATTATTAAGTGGATAATATAAGGATCTTTAATAATACATAAATATTTCATGCACTACTCTAGTCTTTATTAAAGTAACTTCATGTAAAATGAGATCTCTTGAATTTGTAAGGAAATAGTATTCTTTTTTGAATATACCATGCAAGTGACAAAAAGGTTAAAAAAATTCTTAAAGTAATCAGAAAAACAAAAAGCAGAAAAATGATGAGGACTTTATAAATGTCTGTTTTGTTTTTATAATTTGAAGCTTTTGTGGTAATCTACTTGGATTTCTACTGTTTTGTTATTATTGGTACCATTATATGGAAACAATATCTTTCTAGTTAAGTAGGAAATTCATCTGCTTCTCTTTATTTTATATTTGAAGTTATAATGCTCTGTGTCATCAGTTAATTGACTTCAAGGAAGTCAGTCCCTGAAATGCTGAACATTCTGAAAACAGTCTAATTCTCTTTTTGTCCCATTAAAAAAAGTCTTTCTTGTATGAACACTATTGTCTTTAATTTTATTGTTTTAAAGATATTCTATTAAGTATCTACAGCTGTTCTCATAAATTTATTAAAAGCACAACAGACTTTTCTTTTTCAATTCTTCAGAGAAAACTTACTGTTTGATGCCATTTCTTTTTCTCATTTTATACATATGGGGAAAGGACAACCAAATCAATGTATGTAAATGAACTGTTGGAAATGATTCTAATTCCAAAAATAAATCATATGTAATTTAAAAGAATTTTTTAAAATTTTATTTTAAAAATCATTTTATTGGGGGCTCGTGCAACTCTTATCACAATCCATAGCTCATCCATTGTGTCAAGCACATTTGTTGCCATCATCATTTTCAAAATATTTGAAAATGTTTCAAAACATTTTCTTTCTACTTGAGCCCTTGGTATCAGCTTCTCATTCGCCCTCCTCCCTCCCCGACTTTCCCTCCTTGATAATTTATAATTTCTTATTATTTTTTCATGTCCTACACTGACCAATGCCTCCCTTCACCCACTTTTCTGTTGTCCATCCCCAGGGAGGGGGTTATACATAGATCATTGTGATCGGTTCCCCTTATCTCCCCTCACCTTCCCCTTCCCCTCCTGGTGTGGCTACTCTCAGTATTGGTCCTGTGGGATTTATCTTTCCTGTATTCCCTGTGTTTCCAGCTCTCATTTGTACTCGTGTACATACTCTGGTCTAGTTGGATTTGTAAGGTAGAATTGGGGTCATGATAGTGGAGGGGGAGGAAGCATTTAAGAACTAGAGGAAAGTTGTATGTTTCATTGATGTGATACTGCACCCTGACTGGCTCATCTCCTGCCAGAGATCCTTCTGTAAAGGGATGTCCAGTTGCCTACAGATGGGCTTTGGGTCTCCACTCCACACTCCCCCTCATTCACAATGATGTGATTTTTTGTTCTGGGTCTTTGATGCCTGATACCTGATCTGACACCTCATGATCACACAGGCTGATGTGCTTCTTCCATGTGGGCTTTGTTGCTTCTCAGCTAGATGACCACTTGTTTATCTTTAAGCCTTTAAGACCCCAGACACTATATCTTTTGATAGCCGGCCACCATCAGCTTTCTCCACCACATTTGTTTCTCCCACTTTGTCTTCAGCAATAGTGTCAGGAAGGTGATCAACATGGAATGCCAGTTTAATAGAACAAAGTGTTCTTGCATTGAGGGAATACTTGAGTGGAGGCCCAATGTCCATCAGCTACCTTAATATTATATCTATAAATATTTGTGCATAGATCTATTTCCCCATCATCATATATAAATATATTTACATATGTACATGCCTGTATTTAGACCTCTATAAATGTCCTTTGCCTCCTGGTTTAAAAGAATTTTTTTATCTAATAGATTTCATCTCATTTTAAAATAATTCACTTGGGTTTTTTTAATTTAAGAAAATTACTTTGTGCTATGAATTGAGTTGTGTCCCTTCAAAATATATGCTGTAATTCCTAACTTATATTTGTGCCCATTCCAAAGAAATGCAACCCATCAGGATATGGATATTATTAAATTAATATTATTAGTATCAGATGCAAGTAAAATTTCTCTGAAGATAATTTTAAAATAGTTGCAGCAGTACATCTACAGGGAACTTCCAGAAATTCAAGGCAGGGGGAGTATCAGTGCTGATGTCACATGGATGTTACCTGAAAACAGAGAATAGCAGAAAGATATTTATCTGTGTTTCATTAACCATGTAAAAGTATTTAGCTGAGTAGATCATAAAAAATTATAGATAACATTTTGAAGATCGGAAATTCCAGAACATTTAATTTTGCTCCTGAGGAACCTGTTCATAGACCAAGAGCTAGTCATTGGAACAGAACAAAGTGATACTGCATAACTTAAAATCAGAAAATTAAATTCTTTCTCCATTCACTGTGTATGTTGCACATGTGATCCCAGACACTGAACTATATGGAGACAAATGCAATGGCAATATGTGAAATGCAGATAATACAACCTTGATGCTGAAAGGGAAGAGGACTTGATGTCCTTACTGATGAAGACCAAAGAAGACCACCTCAACTGGGGGAAATGGGGTGCTAACAACAATGAGTAAGAAAAGAAAATGTTCTGGAATTTACTGTGGTGATGATTGCACAACTCTTCTTAATATGATTAAATTGTATGATATGCAAAGTATATGCCAATACAACTGTTTGTAGAAAACAAAAACAAACATTACAAAAATTACACTGGGCCAATAAGCCATATCTTGATAAATGTAGAACGGATAGAACTTGTCAAGGATTTAGTCTTACTTGGATCAACAATTAGCATCTAGGGAAATAACAATCACAAAATAAAACAGCACGTGTCATTGGACATTTCTGCTGCAAAAGACCTCTTTGAAGTGTTAAAAATGCAAAAATATCACTTGAAGTACTCTTCAGGAAGCCAAACTCATCACTATAGACTCAATCATGACTCATAGCTACCTTATAGAACAGGATAGAATTGCCCCTGTGGGTTTCTGAGGCTAACTGTTTATGAGAGTAGAAAGCCTCATCTTTGTCCTGAAGAGAGGCTGGTAGTTTTGAACTGCTAACCTTGTGATTAGAAGCTAGATGTATAACCAACTATCCCACGAGAGCTACACTTTAAGGGCTAGAAGGTGCCTAATTCAAGTTATGGTATTTTCATTTGCCTCATGTACAGGAGAAAGCTGCACAATTAATAAGAAAGACTTAAGATTAATTGTTGCTTTGATTGTAGTGCTGGCAAAGAATATTAAATATACCATGGACTTCAAGAAGAATGAACAGATCTGTGTTGGAAGAAGTATAGCTAGAATGCTCCTTAGAATCCCCAATGGTGACACTTAGTCTCATGCAGTTTATATATGTTATCAGAAGGGACCAGTTCCTGGAGAAAATGACATCATGGTTGGTATAATAGAAGGTCAGCCCAATAGAAGACTTCCAATAAGATGGATTAACATATTGACTGCAATAATGGGCACAAACAGCAAAAATTGTGAGGATGGCACAGGATTGGGTAGTATTTCATTCAACTCATAGATTGCTATGAGTTCATAGGCGCTTGATGATACCTAATACCAACAAGAAACTTGTGATTATAATCCCATTTAGGTATGGGCTGTCTTTATTATGTTACTAAGGCAGGGTTAGTGTATTGTGTGTTTGAGTCAACAAAAGAGATTCAAACATGCATGTGGACCAGTGGAGATGGGAGAAAGAGATGCTCAACCACATGAAGAAAGTCCAGGAGCAGAAACTCAGAAGAGTCAGGGATCTTCCTCCAGAGCTGACAGAGGAAAAAAAGCCTTATCCTAATGTTGGCACACTGAATTTAGACTTTCAGTTTCCTACACTGAGAGAAAACACATTTGTTTGCTAAAGTCACTCGCTTGTGGTATTTCTGTGGTAGCAGCACTAGTGTGGTTCTCCTACAAATCTAACAATTGATTTTGTCTTTAGGATGAAAGCCTGGCCCGTCAGTTGGTCGAATTAGGCTACCGAGGGACTGGGGAGGTGGTGAAAAGGGAAGATTTTGAGGCAAGAAAGGCAGCTATAGAAATTGCAAGACTGGCTGAAAGAACTCAGAAAAAGTAAGTGTCCATATCAAAATCTCGATTTTATATTGTATTCAATGAGTAGACTTCCAAAGGCTCATAGAAAACAGAATGGGAAGATAATGGAACTTTTCCAAAAAGTTTTTGAAGTCCCCTTGTATAGTCTCTGGAAACATCCAGTTTGGCTGGCATTGTTGACATTAAGAAACATTTGCTGCAACAGGTAAAACTTATTACAAGTTCCATCCTCAGCATGTGTTCTGCAGATCAGGAACTGGAAGAACTACAGTATGCTTGCAATAAAGTCACATGCAACTTTGAACTACTAATTTAAGAAATATAAATATCAAGATGTGGTCAGCATACCAATCAAGTCTTGTGGAAAAAGTAACTCAATGTTATTGGTTTTATTTATTTATATACTACAGATACATGTGAGTGACTTATGCCTAATATATTTTGTACTTTTGAGGCCTGTAAATCTTTGGCCTCCTTTATGTTTTTATATTTTCTAAAAATTGATTTATTCAACTCTATTATTGATCACCAGCTTTTGTTAATGTGGGTAATTAGTTATATAAACTATGAATCTAATTACTTTATTATGAATGCAAAATAGGCAACAATGAGCTTAGTGAAGTGGATGAGGCAATTTATACAATTGATAAGATATTTAGTTATTTTTTAATGGGAGATAAAGTTGTAGATCTTGGAGAGAATAATTACTTAGAATTTGTTTTACAGAATATCTTTAAGATACTCAGTAATTATTAATAGAAAATTTCAATTTTTTATAGAAAAATAACATTTAGTAGTGGCTTGAGTTATGCAATTTTAATTGATTTTTCTAAGGGTGTGTTGTTATGGTGTGTTGTTTTTGTTAGTTGCCATCAAATCACCCTGTGCATGACAATCTCATGTATAGCAGAAAAAATTTGCCTTGTCCTGTTCCATCTTCATGGTTACTGGTATATTTGATCCATTTTTGCCACTATTATATTAATTCACTACTCGTCTTTCAGTTTGTCATACTCTAGTGGCATAAACATTACTTTTATGCTAGAAGCTATGCCACCAGTATTCCAATATGTGCAAGTCACCCATGATGAACAGGGTTCATAGGAACCTCTAGAAGAAGGCACATTAGACAGAGGGGCCTGAAATTGATTAAACATGCCATCAAGATGGGTTGATAGGTACTCATGATAGGAATACAAAAGTTGGAAACAAGTAAACAGGAACAGCAATTGGAAAACATGGTCTTGTTCATAAAAATTATACAAGAGATACCATGATAGAATTTTGCAAACAAACAACTATTCAGTGGAAATACCATTCACGACAACATACATATGACTATACAGGCAGATCTCACCAAATGAACAACAGAGAAATCAAATCAACCACAATCTGGGAATAAAATGATTTAGAAATGTGATATGATCAGTCAGACAAAGCTAGGGACCCACAGTGGCACAGACTATCACTTGCTCCTGAGCAAATTCAAATTAAAGCTGAAAAAAATTAAAAGGAGAGCCCAAGTGTAACCTTGAACAAAGACCACCTGACTTTAGAGGTAATTTCAAAATATATTGAGATATTCAACACTAATAACTAGAGATCAGGTGAATTGTGGGATGACATCAAAGACATTATACACGAAGAAAGGAAAACATCTTTATAAAGATAGGGAGGCGAGGGGGAAGACCAAAGTGGATACCAGGATAGATGCTGACTTGGTCTTGAACGTGGAGTAGTGAAAGGGAAGGAAAAAATGATGAAACTATAAGAGCTGAACAGAAGATTTCAAAAAATATTTGATAAGATAATGTAAAGTATTATAATGAAATGTGAAAAGAAAATGGAGTTAGAAAACCAAGAGATGGACACTCTTGATATTTTTCAAATTGAAGTCTGTGAAGAAGCATCAAGTTGCAATATTGAAGGATTCTACAGACCAAAAAAAATTGAACAGTTCTAAAGCATCAGAACAAGTTGGAAGGGATACCATTGAACCGAAAGGAATTGATAGATGTTCAACCATTCAGTGGGTAGCATATGATCAAGAATCAATGGTATTGGAGTAAGACGTTTAAGACAAAATAAAAAATACTCAATACTGCTATTGAGTCCATTTTGACTCAAAGCAGCCCTATAGGACAAGGTCCTGCAGAACCTGTACATTGCATCAAGAAGCAGTTGTGTGAATAAAACAAGGGAATACTACATAGTTTAAAATCAGGGTTTTATCATCTCATTATCTTTATTCACTTTTTATGGTGAGCAAGTTATTAGAGAATCTGGATTATATGAAGAAATATACAGTATCAGGATTTGAGGAAGACTCTTTAAAAAGCTGAGCTAGGCAAATGACACAACTTTGAGTACTGAAAGTGAAGAAGGCTTGAAGCACTTGCTGGTAAAGATCCAGGATTGCAGCCTCCAGTACGAATTACAACTCAAAGTAAAGAAAAACAAAATTCTCACAAGTGTATCAGTAGGTAACGTGATAAATGCGGAGAAGACTAAAGCAATCCAGGATTTGGTCTTGCTTGTATCCACAATCAATGCTCATGGACACAGCAAGACAAGAGATCAAAGGATGCAATGCATTGGGTAAATCTGCTCCACGGACCCTCTTAAAGTGTTGAAAAGCAAGGATGTTACTTTGAGGACTAAAGTGTGCCTAACCCAAGTCATAATGTTTTCAATCACCTCATATGCATGTGACAGTTGGACATTGAATAAGGAAGACCAAAGAAGACTTGATACATTTGAATTGTGTTGTTGGTGAAGAATACTGAAAGTACCATGAACTGCCAAAAGAACTAACAAATCTATCTTAGAAGAAGTACAGTCAGAATGCTCCTTAAAAGCAAAGGTGGCAAGACTTCATCTTCTGTACTTTGGATATATTATCAGGAAAGACCAGTTCATGGAAAAGGACAGCATACTTGGTAGAGAAGCAGCACAAAAGAACAAAGCCCTCAGCTCTCAACAAGATGGATTGACAGTGTCTGCAGCAATGGGCTCAAACATAAGAACAATTGTGAAGATAGCACAGGACCAGGTGGTATTCCTTTCTGTTGTGCACAGGAACTCCATGAGTCAGAACTAATTTCAGAGCACCTAATAACAGCAATAGGACAGGGCAGAACGGCTCCTGTGGGTTTCTGAGACTATCTCTCTTTATGGGGTAGAAAGGCTCATCTTTCTTCCACAGAGCAATTGGTAGTTTCAAACTGCTAACCTTTTGGTAAGTAGCCCAATACCTAACACTATGCCACCTTGGCTCCTTGCAGAGAGACAAGACTCCAGAAACTGATGGAACACCAATGCATATATGCCAGTAAGACAATTGTATATCGGAAGGACTCGTTTGACGACTGCTACCTGGGCAACGAACTGGAAGAGATCTCTTTATTGTGCCTTTCCAAATAAAAGTGATCCAACAGATTATGGGAATTATAAAATAATATCATTAATGTCCCACAAAAGTAAAAGTTAGCTGAAGATAGGTCAAAATGGTTATAGTTTACTGAATATATGTATTGAGTCCAGGAGAGGACATGAAATAAGGGATTCATTGCTGAAGTCAGTTGAATCTTGCTTCAAAGCAGAGAAAGCAGAAAGGAATTTATTTGTGCTTTATTAACTATACAAATGCATTTGACTGTGTGGATCATACAAAAACTATGAATAACATTATCAAGAATGGAAATCTCAAAATAAATAATTGTGTTCATGTAGAACATGGTCTTAAACAAGGAAGCTGTCTTTTGAAAAAGGGAATACTGTGTGATTTAAAGTCAGCAAAGGTCTGTGTCAGTCTTGTAGCCTTTCACCCTACTAATTCAATCTGTGTACTCAACAAATAATCTGAGAAGCTGATGTATATAAAGAAGAATGTGGCATGGATTCAGGATTGGACAAAGACTCACTAACCACCTGTGATGTTAGAACTTGAAGCACTTACTCAGAAGATCAAAGACTGTAATATTAAGTTATGGGGGGTGGGAGGCCAGCCCCCACCGCTACTACTCACGGGTTTAGTAATGCACAATTGTGCAGTTGAGATATATAAGTATTATATCAAAGTCATCGAGAGCATGGGAGGTAGAGGAGATATATTTCAATAATGCAGTCGGACACATTACATGGTAGCCTTGCTCACCTCAGCCCAGCTTGGTGGTCCCCGTGGAGAGAGGGGGAAGGTAAGGAGGGCGGGAAAGGGAACAAGGGAGAGAGGATGGGAGAGGAGAGGGGGAAACGAGGGGGGAGTAACCAGCGAGAGAGAGCTCTATTGTTAGCCCAGTCCTATATACCTTTTTTTTGGGGGGGGGGCGTGCAAGCCCACTTATTACAGGTAGAGACATAAGTCACAGGAAGGGGTTGCACTATAGGTTACACAGTAATGAGAGGGGGTGGTCTAGGGACATACGTGCAATAGGAAGAGGAGGGATTGGGGGTATACATGTGACACGATGGGCGGATCCTAGATTTAGGATGGCAACTTAACTTTGGATGTCACAGAGCTGGTTTGACTTGTTCCTGGCTCAACTGATAGAGACCATTATCAGTAGGATGTGAACTCCTCCTATAGGAGCCTGTCCATTGTCATTGTCCCCAGCAGCAGGGAGCGGGCCCACTGCAGTCTGGCAACTGATCTCATGGAGGATGCAGGTTAGTATCTACCTCCCCCCACAAAAGACCATAATCTTTCATATGTATTACAGCTCAGCATAAAATAATAAAACAAAAATCCTCAAACATGACCAATAAGCAACATCAGGATAAATGGAGAAAAGACTGAAGATGCAAAGGATTTAATTTTACTTGGATGCACAATTCACTGTCCATGGAAGCAGAAGTCAAGACATTTTTAATGTGTCAAAAAGCAAAGACATCACTTTGAGGATTAAGGTCCACCTGATCTAAGTAATGGCATTTTCAATTGCCTCCTGTGTGCATGCACATTAAATCTTGAAAAAGGAAGAATCCAGAAGAATTGATGTGTCTGAGTTTTTGTGTTGGTC